AAGTTGAAACATCCATCGTTCACAAACTTCTACACAATTCCCACTCTCCTGCATGTTCCTTGGTTAAAGGTCCCCTGAAATGCTTAGAAACACGCAGCGTTACTCTATGTGTTGACGTCATTTCAACTGAAACAGGAAGACAGGGCGGGACATATCAAGCAGCCCCGCCCCTTTTTAAAATAGCCAATAGCGTTCGTTTATATCACAGCTTAGGCTAGAGCCATTCAGAGCCATTGAGCTCTGCAAAGTCGCATTTGACAGGGTATGCCAGCCACAATCTCATCCATATTGCTATAAAATATAGCATTCTGTGTAGAATTCAACAGTGGTGGACGGAGTAGTTTTACTTCGTTACTGTACTTAAGTACATTTTTCAAGTATCTGTACTTTACTGGAGTAGTTTTATTTTGAGTAACTTTTGCTTTTACTTCACTAAATTCCAAAGCATAAGATCGTACTTTTTACTTCACTACATTTCTGTACTTTAGTGGAGTAGTTTTATTTTGAGTAACTTTTACTTTTACTTCACTAAATTCCAAAGCATAAGATCGTACTTTTTACTTCACTACATTTAATAAAAATTATCGTTACTCCGAACTGATTCTTTTCAATGAACCCGTTAAATCGGTTCGCAAATCGCACCAAACAATTAATTCACGAATTGGAATGATCCGATTGCAGCTGTTCTCGAGTCGACAGCTCACTGATTCAAATGAACCGTTGAGTCTCCAGTGAACTGAATTCACAAGTAAGAACCGGGAGATCTTGTGAGTGCGTGCGCGACTGATGCTGCTAAAAGTAAGTTACTAATGTCAAATGTTAGGATTAATTATTGTAAGTGAAAATCATATTTAGGTCAAAGCTGTCAGTTGTTTGTGAACTAAATCTGCTGTAAAGGGTGATCTGTAGCCTACTAAAATGCTTGAATGCAGACACATTAACATCAGAGTCTCTATGTTTTAGGTCAAAAAACATTAAAATAACACAGATTAAATCAAATAACTCATGCACATTCATCTTCCCCACTGCTGTAACGTTAGCAGTGTTACGAATGATGTTAGCTGATGCTAACCGTCTAGCTAACAAGCTTGCTGGTGCTAAATTTAGGTCATTTTTAAAAAATAAAGTCCAAATATTTTTTTTTTCAACTAATAGTAATTAGCAAAATGGGAAGTGATGCCCTCTGGAGGCATTTGGCCAGGGGTGTTTTTACACCACAGACAAAGAAGAAAGAAATCATTATGAAAATCTAATTATATTTTCCTTATTATATTAATTATTTCCTTATTGGTTATTTTGAGAAAATCCCAGGTATTTTGAGCAGTAGGATTATAAAAACATATATGCTAATATAAAATGAAATGATAAAAGTAGCCTATATAAAACTGCAAAATAATCATTCAGCTATCGGTACTTTTTACTTAAGTACATAAAAAATCAAATACTTTTCTACTTTCACTCGAGTAAAATTGAAAACTGAGTACTTTTACTTTTACTGGAGTAATATTTTATTATACGGATCTGTACTTTTACTCAAGTACTTGATTTGTCCTTTGTCCACCACTGGAATTCAAATAGCTCCAATACATTTTGTGGTCTGCGCCGACACCAGACTTCTTTGTTTCCTCAATGGAAAGCATATTTACACTTTTTTGAATCTTTCCCTGTCCCCTATATAGTGCACTACGTGCCATTCACTGTACAGAAAATACTAATTCTGTGGACAAGTGACCGATTTCAGCCGCGGCTTCAGCGTCTATTTTATAGTGTAGGGGGCGGGGCTTCGGATTCTAGAGTGCATTTGATTGGACAGAAAGTTTGATGAGAAGCTGAAGTACGATGTGACGTCAAAAAAAATCATTGAGCCGTTTTGGCGGAAGTGACAAACTGAAAGCTTTGAATGCTTATATCTTCTAAATGTGAATTTTGTCACTGTTTTGGAGCACACTGCCTCATAGATAACCTTAAGACTAACATATTGATACTAACACCTAAAAAACTTTAATTTTGATTTCATGGGGACTTTAAGCATTTGACGTATTTGCTAATGCTTTCAGCTTCACAACTTTATTTAACACATTGTACCATGTTTAAATCCATTCCACAGATTTTTCCCTTTAAAAAACAGTGTCAACAGGTCAACATTTGTCTTTGCAGCCAGTTGCATGTTTGCAATCCTCTCATGTCAACAAAATAAGTCAAACCAATGCATGCTGTCAGAAGCTCTTTCTCATTCACATTCAGCTGACAGCAAAACCGCTGCCATGTGTCTCCCTTTCATGTACATTTTCACTTCTCTTAAATGCATCACGTATCTGGAATATTCAGATTTGCAAAGATATTTAGTATGGTAAAATGAGGATTGGATTTACTTCAGGATTTGACGTTAAGCATAAAGTGTATAAAAGTAATATAAAATGTTGCCATGAACTGCACAGGTGCAAAATATGCAAAATTGTTGAGTGTTGTACTGTAGCGTCTAATTGTCTCAAAAAAACTGCATTTTAGTAGTTTTATGCTCTGCAACTATATTCACTGCAACCATGCTTACCCTCGCTGCATGTGAACCCATAATTAATGTCATCGGAGTCTATTTACTTTTTATACGTTTTATAGTCGTGTTCCTGGTTTTTGAGGATGAGGGCATCACACAACCTGTCCATGTTGACATCTGTTTCCTTGATCAATTCTGATTTTTTTTTTAAATTTTTTTTTTGTCAAGTCAATTTTATTCCAAAGCAGCTTTACAGAAAAATCATGCTGTTAATGTTTATATCTTAATATCTTCATGCCTTATAGTCATAATTAGCAGATTAGAACTGTGTGATTAATATAATACATAATTAGCAAATTAATATAAACGATCAAGCAGTTGAAACTTGCTATATAGTATACTTTACATTACATTAAAGTTGTATGTTCTGTCTAATTATAATATACTTAACATTTTGCATTGATATCAATCACGCAGCCAAGATTTGTTATGTAGTATGTGTTGCTTTACGTGAGTGAGTGTATTATATATAGATTAAGTTGGATGTACTGTATATTCAACTTTAAATATAGCCTATTGCTTGGCCATAATTTTTAACTATAAAGTGTAATTTGGGAGAATATACATTACAGTATTCAAGACTTACAGGGGGGTTTGATAAAGCTGTTATGGTTAAAGTGGCAGACAGTTATGAAACCTTGAAATATCAGCGCTGTGCGTGCAGTGTCTGGGTCGATATTTGCGCAGGTGTCTGCCTATGAGTTTGTTGACTGATTTGATCCCTCAAGGCCTCTGGCTCTACTTGTTGTTTGAAATGATCCCATTAAAATCAATTTTTTTCTTGTACGATACATGCAAATTCTCTGTAAGCAATGCATGCAGTGCTGTGTGATGTGATTTTGGTGTGTTGATCATAGATAACACCGTTAAATTCAATGACTCTTGTAAAACTGATACAGTAGCTCTGATTGGATGAGTCTCAGCACCTTTAAAGAGAAATGTTTGCGCCATTTCTACAAATAAATCTTTAGATGTACTGTATGTTGATGAGCACTTTGGTTGACACTAATGGGACATTTGCTATTTGAAATGTCTGTTTTGAAAGTCATGAATGTGTCTGATTACCATGTCAGAAACCCTCGTGTTTACTTGGGCCTGATGTAGCCCACTCAAACATACCATACTAATCTAATGCACACATTTCAGGGGCTTTCCCAACTTCCTGTGAAATGTTTGCGCTCTTCTCATCAGGCCTCGGCTATTCCTGACTAGTCCTAGTCCTCAGGGAACCTTGTATCAAACATTACTAATGGACCTCAAAGAGAGACTGTGACAGAAACTGTGATGGCAGTCATCCTCAAAACTGAGACGGTGACTTTTTCTCAACACTTGCTGCATTTAAAGAGACCAACACCATGCTTCTCCTCCTCGGCTCCCTCAGAGCTTCATCCTCGTCCGCTGGAATGAATGAATCACATTACTCCAGTGTCTTGTGACTTGTGTGTAAAGTGCATCCAAGCTCTCTCATTAAATAGCTGGTTATTTGAGTGGAGAAGAATGGAACATTTTCAGTGCAATTACTGCGTTTTCCATGAGAACTAAAGCTGCTCGTTTTTCATTTACAGTTAAAATCGTTAAAGCAAACCGCTGTTTTGATGCAAATAATAACTTGTGAAAACAGGTCTGTGAACCTGGAGGATGCAACTGAACTCTGGTTCATACCAAGCAATCAAAATGTGTGCAAACAGACTGATGATTTAGTGTTTCTGTTTTAGAGCAGATTTTTGAGCACAGCAGGTGAGATTGAGTAACTGAGCGTGTGTTATGTTATGTCTGATCACATCTATTTTTTACATTCTCTTACAGGCATACAAGTAAAGCTAGTATGTGCTTGAATGGGGAAAGAAATCGTGCAGATCTGTTTGTCAAGATTTAATTTTAGCGACATCAACAACAACAGAATATGACAACATTTGTATTATTTCAAGGTTTACTGTAATATTTACATTGAAAATATCCATTAAATTCATTTTGTGGACATACTTGAGAAAAACATATGGAGTAGGCACCTTTTTAATGGACAGTGCACCTAAATATGAAAAATTGTATCTAATGTATGTTGTATCCAAACTTATATGCTGTTATTTTTGCTTGATGTTAACTCTTTCCCCACCATTGATGTAATTTTCTGTCATTTATGAGACTACGCTTTCCTGCCATTGTCATAATATTCCGGCTTTTCATGTTTTCACTGTTATACGCATCCTCTGAAAGAGTACTGAATGTCTGGATCAAAACATGGTGAAGTAGTAGCAGAAACAAGTAATCGCATGTTAGCAGATGCATATGAAACGCGATCATCAAGAATTAAACATCATATAAATCAAAATTGTCTAACCAAATGAAAATCTGTGTTTTGAGCATCGTTTTGAAACCGATCCAGACATAGTCTTTGACAAGGTGATACATTCATATTTTAAACCTGTTTTGTCCTTTTTTTCAACAGGAGATCATCAAAAAGCAAAGCACCTCCTCCTCCTCCTGTCCTGAAAGGCCTGGATGCTCCACTGCTGAGCCACAAGCTCCCAGTGTACCCTCACCCTGCCATGGAGCAGAAGGAGAATCTGCTGGATCAGGACCTGACTCTCACCGTGGTCCTTCCTGAAGGGCTGGAGAAGACTATGGTCGTCCATGGCAGGTGAGGGGTTTGTTGGTTGAGTTTTTTTGTACAGCTGGACATTTAGGCTACGTTTACACGACAACGGAAACGGAAAAGTTTTTCCCTTGCGTTTTTAAAAAGTTTCACGTATACACGACAGCGTTTTCAAAACGATTCGCGTTTACACATATCCGCGAAAATGCTGTACTACGTATGCCAGGCCAGTAGTTGGCACTGTCACCTTGTTAGTAAGCAGTACCTGTAGGGAAGTGATGATTATATGTTGTATATGATGCGTCTCCGCTGTTGGTTGTAATAAGTAAAATAAGTACAATAAGTAAATCCACACTTTGTTGAAGAAGCGTTAGCAAACTCTTGAGCATCAACAACAGTACCATATACTACACCATTGTTGTGTATGTTTGTTCGTGCTTGCCTTTAAAATCGACACGCACTGCACATGTCTACATGCCTAACACGTACTACGCACGTGCATGACGTCACCGTTTTCAAAGATTCCCGTGTTGGGTGTTTACGCAGAAACGATTACGGTGGTGTTTTCAAAAACTTGCACTTTGAAACCTGTTTTCAAAAATATGCGTTTTCAGTCCCCAAAACGCCGTTGTCGTGTAAACGAACAGGCAAAACGTATAAAAAGTTTCCCGTTTTTGGCTGAAAACGTTGTCGTGTAAACGGCCCCTCAAACTGCTGGAGTGGTTGGTATGCAAACAACTTGGTAAAGATGCTGCAGTTTCTTATGTTCAAAGAGAAGAGGTGTCAAAGTAATTTAACTTTGTAGTTGTGGTTTCCATTTGTCCCTAAATATTTTTCAAAGACTGTAAAGTTATAAATAGTACAAAAGTGTCAGAATTATTCTTTGCATTTTAAGTAGATTCACGTTACTTTCTCCCCATTTGCTAACTGATCGGTTCAAAAAAAGATTTTTTTAATATATATATTCATTAATTTTTTTTTTTATATTTTGTATTATTTTATTTCATTTTCAGTTTTAGTGATTTTGAAATATTCTTTAAATATTTTCATTTATTTATTTTTTTTTGTTGTTTTAAATATTTCTGTTTGACTATATTTTTATTTCAGATTTAGCTGTGGTAATTTTAGTACTTCAGCTTCAACTTATTTTTTAGGTAGTTGACGAGGCAACATTTAAAGTTCAAGTTTTCCATCTAATATTTATATTTGATTTATTTCAGATTTATTTCAGTTACTCAATTTTGAATTGCTTTAGTTTTAGTTATCAACAACAACACTTTCACTCATTAGCAGCAAAATAAAAAAAGTATTGCTCTATAGTACTTTTAAAATGTGTTTATGTCCCGTTATTTTTTAATCATCGATATAGCTAATATATTTGAACTGAATGTAACTAATAAACTGCACAGCATTGTTCTCTGCAGACAACACTGAAAAAATGAGTAGAAACCGTGTGTTGACTTCGGTTGACATTGGACTTTTCCTCCATCTTGAATTAATAATTGCCAAATATTTTAGACAAATAACATTAAAAACAGATCAGAATATACAGATGTGCTTGAGGAATTTGTTGGCAAACCTTTAGACACAAGCCTGGACATTTGTTGCTTTTGCAAAACTTTTTATTAGGACACAATGCCAAAAACGTTGTGGCAACATTAACATTGTGAGCGCCTTCACAAATGACCACTGCTCACATATCATCTCTTCTGATCGCGTTTACACATATCCGCGAAAATGCTGTACTACGTATGCCAGGCCAGTAGTTGGCACTGTCACCTTGTTAGTAAGCAGTACCTGTAGGGAAGTGATGATTATATGTTGTATATGATGCGTCTCCGCTGTTGGTTGTAATAAGTAAAATAAGTACAATAAGTAAATCCACACTTTGTTGAAGAAGCGTTAGCAAACTCTTGAGCATCAACAACAGTACCATATACTACACCATTGTTGTGTATGTTTGTTCGTGCTTGCCTTTAAAATCGACACGCACTGCACATGTCTACATGCCTAACACGTACTACGCACGTGCATGACGTCACCGTTTTCAAAGATTCCCGTGTTGGGTGTTTACGCAGAAACGATTACGGTGGTGTTTTCAAAAACTTGCACTTTGAAACCTGTTTTCAAAAATATGCGTTTTCAGTCCCCAAAATGCCGTTGTCGTGTAAACGAACAGGCAAAACGTATAAAAAGTTTCCCGTTTTTGGCTGAAAACGTTGTCGTGTAAACGGCCCCTCAAACTGCTGGAGTGGTTGGTATGCAAACAACTTGGTAAAGATGCTGCAGTTTCTTATGTTCAAAGAGAAGAGGTGTCAAAGTAATTTAACTTTGTAGTTGTGGTTTCCATTTGTCCCTAAATATTTTTCAAAGACTGTAAAGTTATAAATAGTACAAAAGTGTCAGAATTATTCTTTGCATTTTAAGTAGATTCACGTTACTTTCTCCCCATTTGCTAACTGATCGGTTCAAAAAAAGATTTTTTTAATATATATATTCATTAATTTTTTTTTTTAATATTTTGTATTATTTTATTTCATTTTCAGTTTTAGTGATTTTGAAATATTCTTTAAATATTTTCATTTATTTATTTTTTTGTTGTTTTAAATATTTCTGTTTGACTATATTTTTATTTCAGATTTAGCTGTGGTAATTTTAGTACTTCAGCTTCAACTTATTTTTTAGGTAGTTGACGAGGCAACATTTAAAGTTCAAGTTTTCCATCTAATATTTATATTTGATTTATTTCAGATTTATTTCAGTTACTCAATTTTGAATTGCTTTAGTTTTAGTTATCAACAACAACACTTTCACTCATTAGCAGCAAAATAAAAAAAGTATTGCTCTATAGTACTTTTAAAATGTGTTTATGTCCCGTTATTTTTTAATCATCGATATAGCTAATATATTTGAACTGAATGTAACTAATAAACTGCACAGCATTGTTCTCTGCAGACAACACTGAAAAAATGAGTAGAAACCGTGTGTTGACTTCGGTTGACATTGGACTTTTCCTCCATCTTGAATTAATAATTGCCAAATATTTTAGACAAATAACATTAAAAACAGATCAGAATATACAGATGTGCTTGAGGAATTTGTTGGCAAACCTTTAGACACAAGCCTGGACATTTGTTGCTTTTGCAAAACTTTTTATTAGGACACAATGCCAAAAACGTTGTGGCAACATTAACATTGTGAGCGCCTTCACAAATGACCACTGCTCACATATCATCTCTTCTGAACTTATAAATCTAGCCCTTTACTTATTCAAATAGCACTGTTCAGAGAGTTCATCATGATGCAATCCTGTTGCCTTAAAACTATCTTGAACATGGTGCATGTTTGGCAGGACAGGATAAACATTGCAAAAATCACAGTTTGAGCATGAGTGCATAAACACTCCGGTTTACTCGCAGCTGTGTCCATTTCTGTAGCTCTAACAACCTGAACCGTTACGGATTATTATAGTAACTTAATATAAGAATTCTCAATTTTACGGAACTTTATTTTTAATGAATATTGTACACTTCTGCATGGAAGGGGTTAATCTCTGAGCTGAGCTGTATATGAGTTCATGAAGCTTCTCAGATGATTGCTGTTATGAAACTAATCAGATGATTGCTGCGGTGAGTCAGCTGGGTGGGGCAGCGTGTTTCTCAAAGCTCCTGCAACAAATCAGGCTTGGTTTGGGTACAAGGCATGAGATGACGCGAGAGTAATCCAGCATCTTTGTTACACTGTTTGTGATTATCATGATTTCCGCAGTTGGATCCTTTGCTCAAATGACCTGCTGTACTCTCTGTGCCGTGCTTAGTGGTGTTTTCTGGCCCCAACAATTCATCTCAAATGTTAAAGGTCAGAGGGACCTTTGCCAAAAGGACATTTTTAAAGTGGGACTTATTTAAGATTGGCCAAATAGCATTACTTTCATATTTTGCTCCAGTTCTGCATTACCCCTTGCAATAATTGCAAAATATAAATTTGGTAACAACTAAAAAAAATAATAATAATAAAAAAAAAAAGTAAATAAATATAATAGTAAATACATATTATTATTAATATATAATAATAATAATAAATTTACCATTAAAATGATTTATTTTATATTATTATTATATTAATATTATCATTATTAGTAGTACTAGTGCTAGTAAATCATTCATTTTTATTATTAATATTGAATTAATCATAATTTATATTAATGTTACTACTACTACTACATACATAATAATAATAATAATGATAATAATAATAATCATATTTTAATTTTTTATTATTATTAATAGTAGTAGTAGTAGTCCTCTATAAAAATAAATACAATAAAATAATTCATTAGAATTTTTATTTATTAATATAATACAATATATATATATATATTATTTTTTCATGAATTGGACTGCGCGGTACTACTTTGACATGGTTTTGCTAGAGTGAAATTTATTTTTTCTGGCACAAACCTGATCTCAGATTTCGGAAGATCTGTCATCATCATTTAATCATCGTTTTATTCGGTTCTTTGATCCTGAACACCTGTAAATGAAACCTGATTTTCCTGAGTTCAACGTTATTGCCCCCTTCATGCTAAAACTGAAACCAAATTCATTATAGAAGGATTAATAATCAAATTCTTCACCTGCTGTTCTAAATTTGTGCCACCCAAACTCGCTGACCTCCCACTAATCGTGATTAAATTATTGTCTGTGTGTTTCCAAAGGCTTCTCCGATCCAAGAATTCCAAAAGCAGCTGGAAAGCTTTGTGTCATAATCTGTCTCGAAAGGATTTTCCACACTTTCAGTGTGCAATGTTTCAAATGTATTGGACGTAGTGGGAGTCGGTGGATAAGATCCTCATGGTTCTTTCATACTTTGTGGTTCAAACTTAATGCAATATCAAGGGAATAGTTCATGCAAAAATTAAAATTCTGTTATTATTTACGCATTATTTACGTCAAACCAGCGTGCTTTTCCATGGAAAACCAAAGGAATCTTGTTATAGGGCTTGCACAAGTTCTTCTGAATTTCACTTTTGTGTTCATACTGTATTGTTGTCATGAACACTTGAAAAACAATCAAGTGAAAAAGCGCTCATTTCCTTGACGTGCATTGGAAACCCTTGCAGCAAAATATCATTTATGCAAATCCTAAATGCTTGACAGATAGCAAAGCTCGTGTCGTTAACTTTGACATTTGCTTTGACAACTCCCCACAGCAGAGTCACATGTTTCTTTAACTCAACAAAATATAATGGAAAAGATCTTTCACAACTTTTTGAAACACAGACGTTTGTGTCCTAAAGGAAAAGTTCACCTAAAAATGGCATCCTTGTCATCATTTACAAATTTTTGTCTATTATATTACAAAAAATGAGATGTCAGTAAAATGATCAACCTCTGCTCTGCTGTTTTTCAGCAAGCCCATGATGGACCTGCTGGTCATGCTTTGTGCGAAGTACCACCTGAACCCGTCTGGCCACACCATAGAGCTCGTCACCACCAACAGGAACCAGGTGAAGTTCAAACCCAGCGCCCTCATCGGAGCCCTAGAGGCTGAGAAGATCCTGCTGAAACCGAAAGGCATGGAGGACAAAAGCAAAAAGGCAGGACCGCAGATGCCTGAGGTACTCTCATGTACAATTAACTTAAATATGAATTCAACACAGTTCAAGTCAAGTCACATTTATCTATATAGCTCTTTATACAACATGGGTTGTATCAAAGCAGCTTCTCAGTGGTACAAAATGTAGTTAATCAATTACAAAAAGTTCATCAATTATGAAATCATAAGTGCACATTCTTGTATACTGCACATTACAGAAAATACAAGCTTAAAATTAGCATATTGAGCACAGTGCATAGATAATATACTTCAGCAACATTAAAAATATTGTTATTATTATTATTAATAAACGAAAATTCATAAATATGAAAAAATATTTACAGAAAATAAAAATATCTTGCATAGTACACACTATATACATCAGCACTAGTAAAATTAGTATTATTGTTATTTTAAAAAAAATGAATAAATGTGAAGAAAATACAGAAATGAAATTAATCGAGCACAGTACACATACTATATATTTCAGCAATATTAAAAATATTATTATTCTTTAAAGAAATGAATAAAGAAATACGAGCATAAAATTGAATTCAATAAATATGATCCATTTGGATGAGTAAAAGCAGATCTGCTGTGAGACGAGCCTGAAGTACTGTATATCTAGATGTCTCAAAGCAGTGGAGCATGGCTGTACCATATTAACAATACACATCATAATGAATAACAAACAATATCACGTTACACCAAAATAAAAAGCATAACAGCACATAGCAGCTCTGTTCCAAAGCCGTCCTGCCATCTACTGCCTAAATAGTGCAGCATCCTACTGAACGGCACCTCGTAACTGAACAATTTGGAGCGCAGAGACTAGGCAGAGATGCATTATACAAATAGTGCTTCTCATGTGAAGTGCACTGGAGAATTTACCAATGGTTAATTGTAGTAGAGAGTGGCATAAGCATCTGACAAAGCTAACAACATGATATTCTAACAAGAATAAAATGCACAGCATTCACAAATAGTAGATATTATTATTATTAAGGGGGGGAAGTCGTGGCCTAATGGTTAGAGAGTCAGACTCGTAACCCAAAGGTTGTGGGTTCGAGTCTCGTACCGGCAGGGATTGTAGGTGGGGGGAGTGAATGTACAGCGCTCTCTCCCACCTTCAATACCACGACTGAGGTGGCACCGAACCCCCAACTGCTCCCCGGGCGCCGCAGCATAAACGGCTGCCCACTGCTCCGGGTGTGTGTTCACGGTGTGTGTTCACGGTGTGTGTGTGTGCACTTTGGATGGGTTAAATGCAGAGCACTAATTCCACCATACTTGGCCACATGTCACTTCACTTAAAGAAATATTAATACATATTTTATAATATGAATATATATTTTGGATATTTATTAATATGGTTTTAATATTAGATCATACAATTTAACTTTTTGTTTTTTGGAATGAAATGGTTATAACAAATGTTATTATAGTTTTTATTATTATATTTTCTGTTTTCATTTCAGTTTTACTCGACTACTTTTTAGTAGTTTAGTAGTTTTACCATTTATTTTTATTTCAGCTTTAGTTTTAGTGCAGTATTAGTTTTATTTATTTCCAGTTAGTCATTTTAGTGCTTCAACTTAAACTTAGTTCTCTTAGTTGCCAATGAAGCATTTCTATTTTTTTTATTTTCTCAGTTTTTTTCATGACATATTTAAGTTTTTTCCCCCCATTTTTTCCTTTTAATATTTGTATCTTTATGTATGTATTTTTATGTATATATATTATATATATTATTATTTTTTTCATACATTTATGTTATTTTATATATTTTTATTTCAGCTTTATATCAATGAACGTTTTTTTTTATTATTAATAAAGTTAGTTAACAGTGATAACCCTGGTTATAATTTGTTGCAGTGCATCCTGTAATTGTCTTCACAAAGGTTGCATGTGATGGAATTTATTCAGTTAGTTGTCTTAAAAGACAGCATAATCATGCATCCTACAGTACCTCTTGCAACAGCCTTCATACAATATCAGAAACACACCAGTGACCCCTTAAAACACTCCTTACATAGGCATCTCACTAGTTTTTGAAACCGAACCCCACACAATCATGCCGTACTCTTTACTTTCCTTCTCTCCTCTCTTTCAGGCAACCGTACGATTAGTGATCAACTACAAGAAAACCCAGAAAACTATTCTCAGGGTGAGTCCTCGGGTTCCTCTACAAGAACTACTTCCGGCGATCTGCGAGAAATGTGAATTCGACCTGCAGACCACCGTTTTATTACGAAATGTCCACTCAGAAGACACTTTGGACCTGTGCGGCTCGCTCAATGACTTTGGCCTGAGGGAAGTGTATGCAAGAGACACCAAAGGTCAGAACCCAGTGTGTGTTTATGCTAAGTACATTAAAATGACTCAAATGAAATCGTGCAGGACCGGTTTTCATAAGGTCACATTGAGATACTCTGCAAAACATTTGCATTACACTGTACTCTTGGGTTTGTGATTTTTCTTGCAGTAATAAGCCCTGTAAGTCCTATTAGTCCAGTAAGTCTGCCTCCATCTCCATCTCGCTCCGGTAAGTGACGTTAAATATAACAAATTTTCCATTTTATAAGAAAAATAATCAGCTTTTTTTGCACAATTTGATATAACTTATACATGCAACTTAATTGACTCTTGTTCTAGACTTGGCAAAGGTCCATTATCCGTATGATTGACTGTATGCTTGTCATGTTATTGTTATATATTATGAAGCGTCCTTGAACTCCTGAAAGGCACTATATAAATAATATATATATTTTTATGTGAAGAGAATTGTTTATGTATATATCTATATCATTTATTTACATATTCTTATGTAACCGTTACCATTTTCTTAAAAAAAAAATATATATTTTTTTTTTTAGTTTATTTCTATTTGAATGTTATGTCATAATTTATTAACCCTTATGTCGTTCCTGACATTTTTTTTTTAGCCTAAAAATAAATTATTCCTTAAAATATTGTTCATTTTTGCATGAACTCACTTTCAATAAGAAGTTAAGGATGTCTAACTAAACTGCATTTAAACACAGACATATTTCATCATGGGAAAGAGAAAATCCAGAGGGAGAAAGAAAAGACACGATTCAGCTTATTTAGGAAAGGAAGTAAGAAGCAATCCGAACAGGTGAGTTATGAAATCCTATATGTCTATAACAGAACGATAACATGCTTTGAGATTTTCTAGTGATGTTAGGATAAGGTCAAAGGCATGTGTGTTTTCACTTCTTTGTGAACATTCCCTGGTCATATTTGTTTTATGCAAATTGCTAAAGACTTTACTGACTTGTGATTGGCTCGCCAGTGGCATTGATTGGGAGTGTGCTAAATAGTGATTGGCTGTCTGTCATTAAAGTCTATGACCGTGAGCGCACCGGCATCTCCAGTGCACAGGAAGCAGAGGCCGGTCAGCATGAGTTCCTTCAGCACGCATTCGCCGATTACATACGATTGCAATACCATGCCCTCCGACATGCCAAAGAAAAGACGAGCCCCGTTGCCGCCGAGCATGATGTCACAGAGCATGCCTACTGACCTAGGTCATCACCACGGCAACACTCAAACCACCATGCATCACGATGGCAACCAGGTATGTAGCACTGTTCTGGGATTCAGTTAATATTTACTAGAAAATCTTGCCGCGGACATGCACTAGAGTCCAAACGTCTGAGAGCACAGTGAAAATCTGGGATTTCTTTCATGTAAACAAAGTTTTGGGATTTTTATAGAAAGCAAAGAATAGAGTTTTGCATAAAATAAGGAAGGATTCTGCACTATTCCTAAGTCACTAATCAAATACGCTGATGTTCTCCAGCAGTTTCTGCATTTTGTTGGGTCAAATTTGGGGTAGATTACGCACATTGTCATCCACAAACATGAAGCTAATTTATTACATAATTGAAATGAATCAATTGATCAACAGCATTTTATTTATTACAAAGGATATGTAAGAATGCATAGGATATATTATAGTTATTATTGATTATTGAAACATCTGACAGCACCTGTTGAATTTGACTGAAGTTTTGCTATGAGAGCAATTACGTAT